TCACTGCTTTCTGAACTGTTGGTCTCTTCTTCAGTCTCATCACTGCCCTCTTCATCAGTTTCCTCATCTTCGTCAGCACAATGACTTTCTAACATAGAAATGTAAAAGACATAAGCTTAAAAGCAGCCATTCTTCTAAATGTTCAGTATGTATGTGACCTGTTCATTTGCTGGCCTCATAATCCATCTGAATTTTCCTCCTGCTTCCCAGAAGATGACTAGGTTTTAAAGAGAAAATCCAATGGAAACAAAACTTTCTACTTATTTCCTTTCAAAAATTAGAATTTGGCATCAAAAAATGTAATAAACAAATTGGAGATGTGAACAACCAACAGCTTGAATTACATGCTGAAAAGATGTATATTGGGTTGATCTAAATTATAATTCCACATCTGCTTCATAAATTTCAAATGCTCTAAAGCAGATCTGGAAAATGCCTAAGATGCGGGAGGGAAGGGATTTGTTCCTCTGGTGGGCGCTATTCCATCACCAGTTAGGCACATTCAAATACAATCCATTATCATTTATTTTGGAATTAATTCTTCAACCGAATGTGCACTTACTTTGACATAAATTACATTGATTGTAATTCTAGGCATATATGTACTCTTTGCACGGGTAACATTAAACGCTCACTGTAGCAAGAACAATAGTAGCGTTATAAGAAAAAAAAAACCTGCTTTTAATTAGTAATAATTGTTTCAGAAATTTGATTTATTATTCATCTGCTTTCTTCATAGTTCACATTATTTTACAAATATTTATACTCCTCCATAACAAGTAACTGAGTGCAGTCCTTTAAAATATTAACTTCATCAATGCTTGTTAAATAATTTGTAGTATTTCCAATGATCATACTCACCCAGAAGCAGTTTTTTCTCAATAAGTGGAAGAAACTGCTTAGCTTCAGGGTTGCTTGGTTCATATATCAGAACTGGAGTTTGACAAGAGAGAAGGAATTAATATTTCTGGGATGAAAGAAAATATAAATACGTACTTCTTCCCAACCCTAATCCAAACCATCAACCTCTATTTCATGAGTGCAAAAATATTCACTATGCACCCTATTTAGGTGATTTACCTGCTGAAAACAGGTGTGTGGGTGTGCGCGCACGCACATTCACTCACACACATTTATTCAAGTTCCCTTTGGGCAATATACCTTATAATATGATGGGAACTTAAATTACATTTCCTGAAGCAATGTGCAAATCAAAATGCAGTTTTTTTTTTCAAAACGTGCACATTCTTGAATTTTGAATATGATCTCCAATTTAAAGTGTGAAGAGAAATAAAATAACAAAATTAATATTAAATGCATTTGTATTACAGAACACTATTTGCCAAAATCGTAAGAAAACTGTGTGTGAAATGATATACACACATTTTCTTGATATTTTTTTAAAGAATTGAAAAGTTTAGTAAAAACTAGAAAAAATGATCTCGTCTGGAAAAATGACAAACCAAGAGAAACCAAAAATGATAGCTAGCCCCACCAACAAGCCAACTTATTTTTTAAAGAGCAAACAGGAAAGTTGTTGTTTGTGTAGTGTTGATCCATGAAATATGTAGATTAATTTTACATTCCTATTTAAAATCTGAATAGCAGCATTAGGCTATGAAGACAGAGACCAAGATTATGCCATTCAAGAAAGGAGATAATAATTTTCAATTGTGCCTACTATCTTGCCTTTTTTTTTGACAACCTCCCTCTCCCACCCCAGGAGAGGTCTGGCTGCCATTGTAAGAAATTTAAGGGCTCTTTGATTCACGCAATTTGGTCATTTCCAGTCATGACTCCATTTTGGTTTCAAGTTCCTGTATGTGTTAATGTAGACTTAGGAAAAATACAGTAATTAAAGAAGTCTATGTATTGATTATAGAGCCTTTTACAAATAACTCTACCTCTTTATAAGAGCTTGGTACCTGGCAATAAGGATTATTTTATGTGGAAATTCATTTATTTAAAATATTCATATAGTCGCCCCATCTGGGCAGCTCCCAATCATATGTTTTTATGTAAATGGAAAAAAAAGGTATACACTTAATTTTAAGGCATGGATTCATATATTAATGAATGAAAAATTAATGCATTAATGAGATATTTCAATTTCTGAAATATTTATATTATAAAAAGTTGCACACCATGCTTCTATATGGCCAAGGTTTAGTAATATTTAAATACTGGATTTTAATTTTAAGACATGGATTCAAGATATTAATGAAAAATATATGGCCAAGATTCAGTAATACTCAAATATTGGATTTTCTATTGATACCTTACAATTTTCTTTTTTCCTTCTTTTCTCTGTTTATTTTAATAACTGTAACAGATGTAATTTCCCGAATTACTATCACTGATATTTTATTCTATTGTTTGTTTCTTATGCTTCACTTTATAAAAAAATAATTAAAAATACAAAACAAAAACCAGAAGTTGCTCCTTTTCTACAGATACATATAGACTTTATACAGCTATATGTTTCTGATGAGTATAATATAATACTTTGTATTTATATACTTGAGTATAGTAAGCACATATATAATAACTCCTGATTCTTATGGAATCTGTTTTATGAAATTATATTTCTCAAGATTGGAGCTTTAAAGAATCCTCAAATCTGAGTTACGTTAAGGAAAAAAAATATGGAAAAATGATCTACGTGTGTGTGTGTGTGTATGTGTGTGTCTATATGTATAATGCCTTACACAGATCTATAATGAGGACTTTGGGGTGTAATTTGGATTGGAGAAATGTGGCTCAACAGTTGTAAAGAAAGTTCTCCACGATGTACCAAGGTTTCCACCTCAGGTCCAGCTGTACACCACCTGGAAAGAGGGTGGGTGAAATCTGGTGAGTACCAAAGCCACTTTTCTGGATGAAACCAGAAATTAGTAAAATGGCACCCAAAGATGAGCTGCTGAAAGAATGCCTGAGGCAGCAACAGACATGAGAGGAAGATCAAGCAGAGGAAATACCAAGGCAAGACATGACCCTGCATAAGTTCTACCATTGACAGACATTTGAGGTAGCTGACACTGGGAAATTTTACTGGTGGCTGGACTAAAAGACAATATGAGACACTGATCATAGCAGCAGAAGACCAGGGACTAAGCCCCAAACCAAAGAAGCAGGGGTCTACCACATTAGACAGGATCTCAGGTACAGGTTATGCAAAAAAAAAAAAAAAAAAAAGTCTGAGACAGTCCAAAACATAGTGACAGAGTGTGACATGCACGTAGGAACAGCACACACTGAATAGCAGAACCAAGTAGCTGGCATTGTCTATGGGCTAGATCCTCCCAAGTCCAGATGAGAGATTTTACCAAAAGCTATTGCTAAGATCCTGTGGGACTTCTAGATCCAGGCATACAGGTAGCTGTTGGCCAATCAAACAGATATTATGGTAGTAGACAAGATGATAGATGTAGTAGTGCCAAGTGACGCTAACATCAGGCATAAATATGAGAAGCTGGAGAAGTATCAGAGCTTGAAGAAGGAACTAGAGAGAATGTGGAAATTAAAGGCCAAAGTGCCCCAGTGGTCGTAGGAGCATTTGGGTCTGTGATTCCTAAAATGGGAGAGCAGCTCCGACAGATCCCATGAATGACATCAGAGCTCCCTGTCCAGAACAGTTCAGTGCTGGGAACAGCTAAGATGCTGCACAGAGTTCTCAAACTCTCATGTCACTGGTTGAGGACCTGAGATTGAGGAAGACATATATGCCACTCAATGGGGTAAAAAGGATTTTTTTAAAAAAATATGGTACTTAATCTCACAATTGCCACTCTGGGTGGTAAGCATAGGAGTAAAAAAAAATGGACAAAATAAAAATGATGAACACTATAAACAACAATACACTACTGACACAATGGTGTACTTACTCATCTGACAAAGCTTCTTTGCAAGATTGTATTTCCGTTCCATTATTGCTTTCAGAAACTAGGAAAGATATTTTAAAATATATAAATTGAAAAAAAAAATTCTAAGCTTATCTGAGAATGTAATAAGTTTTATTGCTTTTAACTGACTTCAAGTTTGTTTTAAATTTTATTTACGGCTGTTCTTGGGAGTGAAACAGTGGAAGCCATGAGCATATCTTAAATAAATAAAACCACAAATAAAATATTGCATCCATAGACTATACTATCGTTATTACTAATCAACAATAGTAATATATAGTCAGTCAATGCATTATCTTATGCTCTTCATTTAATGTAATTATAATTATAATTCTAATTCTAAAGAAATTTGGATGAACAAAATGACATAATTCAAAAACTAAAGTGATACCGAAAGATTGAAGATATTGTGCTATTGCATACAACTTTTGTTGGAGTCAGAAGTATTTAAACTTACAATGTCCATATATGTTGTAGCCCTTGTATTCTCTGAAAGAGCTAAAAGCAAAGTGAGAACACAGCCTTTAGGGTAGAAGATAGCATCAGAATGATATCACACCCCGTATCTGCATTAGAGTGGACATGTTACATTTTTATTGCAGGCAGCTCATACTAACATTGTTGAGATGAAAAATATTGTTTTATTTTCGTGCAAAACAAAACTATTTCGCCCATATGTCTCATAACTGTATTCATGGTTATTTTATTTTTTTTATATAAGGTAGATTCTTACTATTTTTTACAATCTTTGTAACAATGGGATTTTTATTTATATGTGGGAAAATAAACCCTATTTTAAGAAATAGCAACTGTATTGAGAAATATGTTTACTTCCTTTGCGTGAAAAGCTAATTCTGTTTCAGTGCTGCTTCAGTTTAGTATATTCTTGTACCTCTCCCATCAATTGTAGTGGTGCAATTCTCTTTTGAGTTTCATTGTCTGTTTGACGAGTGTTGTTTTCGTCATCTGAACTATCTGGTGGCTTTTCATCATCCTTTTTTTTTGTCCACACTGTCCTTTTGTGGTTCAGTACAGACTTCATTGTTGACAGTCTTTTCATCAATCTTGGAATTTTTCATTTTTTCATCTAAACAAAATTCAAACTTCCATGAAAAGGATTAAGAAAGGCCTTTGGAATTCTATAGAAACCCTTTACAAATGTTAACACAAACAAAATCACAACGTGATTGGTCCATATTTTTGATATTTGTCATGAAGTTGTCCTCTTTTATAATATTTATATATATGTAAGTCAAATGATTTTAACCACCTGTGCAATAAAACGAATGGCTAGCACTGGATTATTGATCCAATAAAATACATACAGTCAGATATCACAGATATCAATAAATAGCATATTCTTCTGTATTTGTTCTACCTTTTAAGAGGTGGAAGCATGAGAATTATCCTGTCCTCTCTAATAACAACCATGGACTTCATACATAGGTTTGGATTAATAGTTTTTCACAACCAATTGATGTGTAGTCAGTACACACCCAATTGTAGTCAGTAACAGTTCTCTTTAAAAGAAAATTAAGACAGCCAAGTAACTAAAATGTTGAAAGCATATTTCAAGTGAGACAAGACTGATGCAATTAAGCTATTATCTTAGAAAAAGATATCTCAAAAAAATTAATATGGTTGGAGGAGATAAAAATTATCTCCCCCAACAACAGAACAAATTTCCCCAATGAGCATGATTGCCAATACGGACAACTTAAAAAACTTTCAATTTAAAGAATTCTGTGCCTCAGAATCTGATGCTGGCTAAGGGCTTAGCTCTAAAATGAGAATCAGATGAATTCATAAAAGTAGGTCTACTGAGGGAATCTCCTTCAAAAACAGGATACCATATAGAATAACAATATGTGGACAGCATCACTGTGGAGAGATTACTAGAATCCTATTTGTAGGTTCCCTGGAGCAGTTGGCTTATCACTGAGGAAACTGGAATTAAACTGAACTTGCCTCAGATGCAGGAGGACTTTCCCTTAAACATGATCATGAAATTCACTTACTGGAATTTTTATATTCCACTGGACACTGCACTTACATTACAATTATCAATCCTCACAGTATAGTTTTCCTGAGCTTAACATTTATATCAACCTACCCTTCATTTAGTGAGGCTGACTGACATCACGTGCAACCATGATATGAGTTTAGCTCATAGCAAGGTAACAGGAAGAGCTGGGAAGCTCTATGAACATGGAGCAAATTAACTTCAGAAGTCAGAGTTACTTTAGAAAACTATGCAATATTTGACAATTTTTCTATGAATTGTTAATACTTAAGACTAAAATGATGTAATGATGTACAAGACAGTGGCTTCTTTTGTTAGCTCACTCATGGATTGGTTGATGTAGTTTCTTCTCTCAGATGAAAGAAAATATGTGACACCAAAAATGGCTGCTTCCACAATAGTCTTTTTATCTAAGCTCTTAAACTAAGCCAAGAAGAGTTTTGCTGCCCTTCTTTGCACACAAAAGAAGTTCACACGGGAAATTCTATCCTTCTAATGATAAATCACACTTTCCTGCTGGATCCCACTGATTCAGATGCAGCTTAAATTAGTAGTGGGCTACCAATAGGATGGCAGCGGTGAGGACATATCCTTCACAGATGCTAAATAGGCAGTTATAAAATTGGGGCAAGAAGTCTATGCCAATTACCCTTTCTTGGTAAAAGAAATTATAAAGGCTTGCTAGTTGATTCATTGAACACTTTTTACGGACTGAAAATTTAAACTTGATTAATTGGCAGCCTACACTACAAACCCACCACTTCATTGCCTTTTGGAATAAGCTATGCTGTGAAAATTTCAGAAAAATAGTAGTAAAAAGCAAAAGAAATTTAAGGTGACAGATAAGAAGAAAAAGAAATGCATAAAAATCTACTTTAACACAAACCATTTAGTATAATACTTTTAGCATCCACTTGTTCTTGTTTTACCATTCATAGTTAAGTAACATGTTCTCGTATTGTGTATACTTTTCACTGACATACTTAACATTCACTTCTATTTAAAAAGGTAGGCAGAAGCATTTTTGCTTCTTTCAACAAACATTAATTCTTTCAACTCACCCATTGCTCTTCTATCACCATTTGCATGTTTAAAAATACAGCCGTCTATTTCCTATCTAAACATTTTAACATGGTAAAACAAATCAAGTAGAATTAATTGCTCTTCACGTATGTGTAATTTGCAGTAATTCACTCTGTTTTATCTGTCAAACACAACTACCTTATGCTGTCTTGGGATTCTATACCATACAAATATACAAAAAGAGAAGGCGAAAGAGCACAAGGCCAGAAGAAGATGGAAAGAAACATCAAAGGCTCATTATGACAGCATCAAATAATAATGGTTGAGGCAACCAGAAATTGCAAGAATCAGAACTTTGTATCTCCTTCAACATGTGAAGTGGTAAAAGAGGAAATTAAGAAGAACACAACTACCTTGGTCTTTGGTAATTAATTTGAAATCTATAGTCTTCTTGGCATCATTCATTATAATCCACCTAACATTTGTTGGAAAATCATTTGGGTTCTCAATTACGTGACTTCATCTGCATGAAAAAGGACCCATTCATGTCCCCAACCTTTACCATTAGCATGAATTTTTCTTACCCATAACTGCGTTAACCACCCAAAGGACATCACACTTTCTAGCCAATTCCCTACACAATGTTAAACTACTTGGTAGGTATTTCATCTATTCCCACTTCCATCATATACAGATTCTACTGTGTTCAGGAAACAACCTTCCACTCCATTTTCATGCAAAATATTCCACAAGTCTATTCATTTCACCATGCAGACCTTTTTTACTTTCTAACTTGTGTCACTAGCTCAGTGACACAATGCCCAAGAGACAGATGTCATCATAGAAAAGGCAATTCCTTCCCTATTCCCAGTGGAGGTTTGTCCTGTCTTTTCAGAGTTAGGCTATCTCACTTACATCATGTGGCTGTTTAGCTAATTCAGCCTTGTGCTAAATCAGTAACCCATAGAATTAAAACAGTTTTAGAACAACCAGCTGAGCAGTGTAGCTCAACTGCACAATCCTGAAGCTTGCTACCTCCAGCTCTTTGGGGAGAAAACAGGAGAAAGGTGGTAGCAGAGGCAAAGCAGAGGGAAGGGGGAGCATTCATATCAAAATGAAACAGCTGAAAAGCCCTGCTCTGTTGGCCCCCTCTGTTGTCACAATACTTCCAAGCACCCTCAGTAGTCACAATACTTCCAAGCTAATGGCAAAAGCATAATGGCTGTTGCCACGGCCATCAAAGTCATTCACTACACTAACTCTGATATAGCCAAGGATGACCTAAGTCTATCTCATCCATGAACTGAAAACAAGATGAAAGCTACAGCATGGGAAATATGGAGGAAATGATTGCCAGGTATGTTTCTACCATGGTGAAAGGGTGAAAGACTTAGGTATACCATCCTGCAATGTACATTAAGATTCCTTTCGTTTATATTTTTCAAATAACAAAGAAACTAGAAGCAAAGATTGCTTTTAGCTATCTGCATTTATTTAATTAAATAAGAAGTAATAGAGGGGTGTAGCTGGGCTGGAGCAGCGATGTTCACCGGAGCTATGCCAGAGCCCTGGCCAGCAGCAGTGTTCACTGGAGCTGATCAGCTGGACAACAGCTGGCTGGATTCAAGATCCACAACGGCAGCAGTGCACAGCTGATCAGCTGGGCACCGGGTGTCTGTAGGTGTCCAAGGCAGAGATAAGATTGGTGTCATCCGTGATGCACAGCTGATCAGCTGGGAGGTAGGGGACTGCAGGTGTCCTGGGGCAGTGGCGCTTGGCTGGTGATCAGATGTGGACGCCTGAGGGGTGGCACCCAGCCAGTGGCAGGAAGGGGCATCCCAGGATGACCACCAGGGAGAGGGAATCACCCAGAAGGAAGGAGGACAAAGAGTGAAGGAAGATGAGAAACAGCAAGGTGGGTGGAGAGAGAAAGAGAGAGAGAGAGAAAGAGAGAGAGAGAGAAAGAGAGAGAGAGAGAGAGAGCGTGAAGCCAGCAGGCATTAAATGGGTGAGACAGTGACCAGAGAGGGCACCAGGAGTAGCAGCGGAGACGAGCTCATCCAGGTGGGTGGGCAAGCCAGTGTCCAGAGGAAGTGCCAAACATACCAGCAGATGGCAGAGACAAGCTGATCCCGAGGCTCCACACACCCACAACCCCTCTGTCTTACCAGGGTTCAGCTGAAGCCTGCTGTCCCCCATCCAGAGGCCCCCAGCCTCCAGACAGTGTGGGAAGAACAGCCACCGTAATACCAAATACTATTCATAAGAATCTCCAATCAAATTTGATAGTCATTTTGTGTATTTGTTGCTCAAATGGATACTTTATGAAGGTAAAGAGACTGCACGTATGCAAAATCATGCATGTCCAGAACCATCATTTGTCTGTACTGAAAATACCAAATTTAAAAACTTGGTAAACTGACATGGCCAGAACAATACATAGAGGAAATAAGGCTACGTATGTTGGAAATGCATAGCTGAATTTCGGCTTCTACTCTCCATCCCAAGAACAGACAGCCATCCATATTATCTATAAAGCACAAATGCAGACATAAATCTCACCTGCATTTTCAAGGCAGTCATGTGGTCTTACATTCATCTTTGGATTTTTCTTTTTCACAATTCTGGCCGCTAAAGCATTCCGTCTTAGCATTGCATTTTTTCCCCAAACAATAAAAAAGCATAATATTTTTTTTTACAAAAACAAATTTAGCCAATAGAATAAATACTAAATAAGTCACAACATTTCTTTTTAAAAAAAACCTCTTTCTACATGGTTAGATCAGAATTACTTAATGTTTAGGGCCAAATTAGAAATAACATTAGTTGCATTTTACATATAACATGCACATTTTAAAAAAAATGCACATGTGGTGTTACTTAATTTTGTAGAACAAAAAAGCTATTCAGAGTTAATGCTGCATTTCCCTGTCTGTGGATGTATGATCTCAAACTATTATTGCAGCATCATTGTGGGGTGGTACCTCTATCCTCACACCAATTGGCATAAAGACCAATACAATTACAGAGGTCTTTTCACATGATTATTTTGTTCTACACTGCTAGCTGTCACAATGGCAATAGACATTCATGAGGCAGCACTTCCCTCACATGTATAAGATTTTTTAAAAAATCCTATTCTACAATGTTTCAAGAGCAGGCTATAAAAACTTGTTGAGATCTACAAAGTTGGGTAGCTGAACAACAGTTAACTGTTAAAAAAGCTTGATGTCAGCAATTTGTTCTTATAATAGAATTAATTAACAACTCAACTGAAGTGAGACTTACTTTTCTAATGATTTAGCTGTACATAACAAGATCTGCTTTGACGGAGTGTAAGGTCTGCTTGTAGGTTCATTTCCACATCCCATGCTACCTTGGTTAAAAATTTAAAAAATATATTATTGCAAAAAGTTTTAAATATCAGTGACGGAGTAATGATTCTACTAAAATATAATTTTAAACAGCTGCTATAACTTTTTATTTTTGCTTTCTTGTATTGCATCTTTTCAAGCTTAGGGTAAAAAGTTGATTTTGGCACAATGATAAGACAAACAGAAGACGGACATAAAATAATTGGTGAACTATGGAGTAATTCATACATTTTCCAAAATAATAACCAACTGTATAATATATCTCTACAGAGAATAAATATATTATTTTGATACTTCAGTTATTCGTCTCTTAAATTTAAATAACTTAAGAGAGTGACCAATAAAACATTATTGAGTCAAGTTCAACTCTGGGTAACTACATAAACATATCTACACAGTTTTCTTGGAAACAGTACTGAAATGGTTTGCTACCCCACCTTTTTTCTCGAATACTGTTAAATGTCCTATTTTATAGCCCTGGTATTCCAACATGAGTAAATACATTAATATCGTGTTAATTGTATAATAGTTCCCTAATTTTAAATATAATCTTTCTAAAATAATTCTGTAGTATAACTTAGTTATTGTTCAATATTTTTTAGCTGTAAATTTTCACTGTAATAAGTTTTTACAATGTTTACATCATTTATTCAATATAGTTTATGGATAGTTTAGTATATATTGAAGTTGGAAATAATCCAGTACTATACAGAAAACCTTTCTGGGATTATCTAAGGTAGTTCTCAGACTCTGAAACTCCCATCAAAGGAGTCCATGCAAATTCTCATTTTAATACCCTTTCTCAGAAGGTAAAGCTGTTCGTACTCAGAGAAACTTTTTAATTATAACATTTCCGTTTTACTGAAATGAATTTAACTGAGAGTATATCTACTTTTAGTTTCTTAATTTTATTGATGTGCTTTTGATTGTTTTTAACACTTCAATTATAAAATTTTATTTTATCTTATACAGTGTTATTATAAGTTCAAGCACCTTTGGCATTGGAAAGTCAGAAATACACTGAATACATATTATGTGTGTGTGTGTATGAAATTAAAAAATATTCAATCTTATTTTGATCTATTTAAAAGCTTTTGTGTTTCTTTTATGAAACATATACTCAGACATACACATAGCATTCTATTTTCATATTCTTTTCATATCAATACCTGAAAATTATAATTTTTAAACTTAATTCAGTGGAGTTAAAAAAAATTTCATATAATGAATTATATCTTATAGGTTCAAGGAACTGAATGATTATAGCTGTTAGCTCTAATGGATATACCGGTGTGATGTAGAGCCTACTAAAACATATTATTTCCAATACAAGCAGTACAGAGCCCCATATCAGCACACACACTCTTGTGTATGTCTCATGCAGAGGAAATGCTCAGTGACCAAATTTTACATGTTTAATTATCAAGATTACCACCCTGTAATATATTTGCCTGAGGTCAAATGGGACTTATTTCTTCTGAACAAAACATATAGACTGCATAGCAAATATGCTGCTATAGATGCTGTTAATTATCCTTAACGGGAAATTGTACTTTTTAAAGGCAGGAAAAAAAAATCACACTAGCATCAGAAAGCTAGGATGGGACAGGAAGTTATCCCACAGATCAACCTACTCAAATTAAACAAGAATGCGTTACAGGTAGTCCTTGATTTATGACCACAATTGAGCCCAAGATTTCTGTTGCTAAGTGAGAAAGTTGTTGTGAATTTCGCCCAATTTTACCATTTTTCTTGCCACCATTGTTAAATGAATCATTGCAGTTATTAAGTTAATTTATCCAGGTTTGGAAGCACTGCTGTAACTCTACAAACAGGTCGTGACTGCAATAGCATAATCGACCGTTTACGGCACGGGCACCCACAGAATCTCATAGTTTCACCAAATTGACAAAAAACGGTACTGCACTGCAAGCTCCACCTTTTACATATGCACAGGTGACATCCCAATGCATGTAGAAAAACAGGGCTTGCACTGAGATGGTACATGGATGTTTTGCTCATTCTGCCCTCCTTCGCATCACTTCTGCGGAAGCTGCTGGCTTATATAAATATCGCAAGGAACCCATCTTGGCAAGCGAAAGGAAGTTCTCAGGCAATCTTCTGCCAGAAGAGCCTTTTATTCCTTGTAGATAAAAAGTCACCTAGCCTGACTAGGTGGCTCAGTGGCTAAGACACTGAGCTTGTTGATAAGAAAGGTCGGCAGTTCGGCATTTCGAATCCCTAGTACAGGTCTTCTGCATGAGCAGGGGGTTGGACTAGATGACCTCCAAGGTCCCTTCCAACTTTGTTACTGTTACAGGACGGAAAGAGTGGGTGATGCTGGCCCTTGCCTGACTCCAGCAAGTTCAACTGTGTTATGCTGCTCTTCAGTTACCTCTGGCAGCCTAGCATGTATTTCTGCTATTGTAAATTTTTAGAAGAAGAAAAAAAATGAAGAGATACTGGGAACGATAGGCTACAAGTACTCAAATATGTCACCACAAGAAAACTGAACTTCAGTGTCTTAGCCACAATCATGGGAATGGAAAATGAGAAAAATTCTGAATTATTTACCGAATGCTTAATTTTGCCCTTATAAATAACAAGGTCAAAGAAAATTTTAGCACAGGCTCTACGGATACTGTGAGAGAATCAAAGCAAAGCAAGGCAAACTGTAGAAGGTTTAACTGTTCCGGGATCATAACCTCGGCATAATGATAACAAGCATTGTACACAGGTGAAATGCAGATAAGATAGCACTTTGGGAAATTAATGGAATAAGAATCAGTTTATGAATATTTTCATAAAAATCATACCCAGTTGGATGTTATGGTGGTAGTGGTGATAAAGTTTTGGTGGGAGTGGTGAGAACGGAGTGGAGCTTGGTTTCTTTACTTTATTAAGAATAAACTAAATGCAATTGAAAAGCCCATTCCTCATTTTTACAGTTTATTTACATTTACAGCACACCTGCATTGGACCCAAGATTGATGTGAAAAGTTAGAAAAGTCACTGGAACCAAATATATTTTCTATGAATATTTGGAATCAGCACAGATACATGCTTTCGACAAATCTGTATTAAACGAATTAACTGCTCCCAAACTTTTTGAGCCAACAGGTGGCTTTGAAATTTTGCAAACATATCATATGTAGCAAAAAAAAGTGGCTGCCATGGGGGTCTTTGTCCAATCACCAAGTCCCATTAGACACCCCTAACCCCCAGTTTATCCTTAACATTTGTTTTCTTCTTCTTCTCAGCAGAGTGGTCATAATCTATAAAGCTAGATCTAAAGGGCTTTTTATTGCCTAAGAACTTCTTTGGGATCCGTCTGTATTCTTGTCAATGCAGATTAGTCTACGAGTACTTTGCTTTGTACCCTGCCTGCTTCCTTTTTGTTTAAAACTGAAACAATTTAAATATTTAAAAAGTAGAAGGGTATGGCAGCTTGGCAGGCAATGAGGGTAGTGTCTGTAAGCACACTGGGATTCACAGGAATCCTGCTGGCAATTCCAGCCTATGTTTTATCTATATACTATACACCGACTGTGAATCAGTATTAGTTCTTCCAATTGTGATTTCAATCCTATTTGTATTTACTTGAAAGAGTGAGATTTATTTCTAAACTATACGCAAACATATACAAAATTATGACATTGTTACCAATCTATATATTAAGAAGGTATGATGTTAAACTATAAGAAATATACCAGCCACATAATGTGACTCCTTACCGTGGGACTGTTTGAATTGGTTCAATAACTACTTCCTCTATAAATAGAAACAGAAAACCATAGTTTGTTTGATGTAGGGTCAATTTATTAATCATAATTTTTCTCTTAAAATGGAAAGCACAGAATGATAACAATGCCCACAATAAATGTAACATATATTTGCTAGACTTTCCTTAAATTCTTTGAGTGAGGGGGTTTTCTGTGGCCTCTAAAAACAGCTGTCATGGGTCTCCTATTCAAGAACTTCCATTTGACCTGACTATTTTGGATCACTTTAGATTTGCTGCCAACTGTTCCTTGCTAGGAAATGTTGCATTGAGAGTGGTGGCCAGGCAACTCCAGCAATTAAAGGAAACAGCTTATTTGAAACCACTGCAATCAAAGCCAAAGCACAGCTGAAAAACTCAACTGGTCAGTTTTGGATGACTTATGGAAAAACTGTTCAAA